GAAGAGAGGGGACATACTGCTTAGGGAGCCCAACGTACTGGAAAAACTGAAAGTCCAGACCAAGCCGTCAAAACCAGCCGTAGTTAGACCTCGGTCAGACTCGGCGATTGCGTCGCTGTACACCAGCGACGGAGCCGCCCGGCACAAGAGTGGCAGCAACGGGCGATGACTCATCAGCACACGATCGATATCGGTTGGCAGGGGGAGATTAATCATCCTCACCCATCGTTCATGTTGCTCCCCCTGCCAACCGATATCGATCGTGTGCTGATGAGTCATCGCCCGTTGCTGCCACTCTTGTGCCGGGCGGCTCCGTCGCTGGTGTCCAGCGACGCAATCGCCGAGTCTGACCGAGGTCTTATCACAAGGACAAGTCACACTGGCGAGGTGACCGTGCAAGAAGAACGTACATACAGCCGCACAGATTGGCACAAGTACAACTACACTACGACGTTAAGGAGGATCCTATGAAAACGCTTTACAGAACCTGTGGTAGAGGGTATAGCTGTAGGAATGTTTAAGCTAGAAAACAGCGAATGAGTGAAATGCTAATGATGTGAGAGAGGGCGAGAAGACTATGCGATGGAGTAGTTGAGAGAATGGGAAAGCATGGGATGAGTCGAAAACAATAATGGTGGGAGAAATAGGCCCTACATCAGGCCAAAAGGTTTTAAAACAGAAAGTAGACGAGAGAATTAGGTCCTCTGCATTAATTCATTTTCCTCCTTTTTAGCGTACCAGGCACTGGCCCTGCCAGAATTCCCCTGTCGTATCGAAACTCCGTCGACTCCCAGCAGCCCTGCTCTCTCTTCTACTTCGCCGTCACCCTCCCCTTAACCCAACCGTTCTATGTATCTCTTCTGTTATTAGTTCTGTTAGTTGTATTAATTCGTTAGTGGATTGTACCTATTCGGTTGTTGTTCATCCAAATAAGTGGACATTCACAGACCTCATTCACTGCAAAGCCCATTTGAACGGGCTTAGCACTCTAAGTGACCTGAGAACATTAACTATACGGATAAGTCCCGAAGCCACCTATCGGAATCAATACGCGGCTGTAATTCTACAGGGAAGGTTAAACTTCTAGTCTTCCCCGTAGGGTTATAGCCTGTATGAATTTCGATAAGTACAGATCTTTTGCGAAAAAAAGCATGGTAGGACCCAATTGGAAAACTTTTCAGTCTTAATAGATTACAGCAATCAAAACCTGAGCGTAACTCTTGAAAGGGTGAACTAGAAAAAAATCGAGCAAAATCTCCAGATAGCACTACGACGGCTCTAACATCACGGCACAGATCTGTTCCAAAAACGAGCAAAGCCAGACCAAAATTCCTTGCAAGTTCGAGAATATTTTACTACATACTAGGAAAGACGTTCAGTAAAGAACATACCTCATCTCTAACTTGATAGATATCCTCCGATTCGCCCAAATTCTTGTCGAGGTCTTGTAGGTATGCAATGGCTGAGTCTACACGAGTACCATCACCAAACACCTAAAAGGTGAAAATAACCTTAGTTCTCATGCAATAGCCTGAGTTCAAATTCATCCCTTAATTCTGTTCCTTACTCAGCTCCACTTTTTCACTTATATGCACTCACCTGCTTCTCCTTGAGTGCTTGCAAGTTGTCCCTCAACTGAGCTGACGTGGTGCGAATGCTTTTCATCAACAGCTCTTCGGGTTTGGTGCTGTACTGCTTGGCCTCCTTCTCTATCCGTGTTTTCAAATCGACGACAGACGACGACAGCTCTCCCACCTTTTCCAGGGCCCACTCACGTTTCGCACGTATCAGGTCAGCCTGTGCGTAACAATAATGTATCTGAATAAGGAAGGAATGAGTTGAGTAAGCCATCTTAGTAACTCACCAGTAGGAAGTTCTTGCTCAGAGTATCCAGAAGTGAACGGAGTTGGATGGTAACCGGATCGATCACTTGGGTACGTGCCTGAAATCGCCAATCTGTAACTGCATCTTCTCTACCTCTATAACCTTTTTTACAGCGTTTCAGGAGCTACTTTTCTTCCCAGCCGAATAAAAGCAATACAATAATTGGATGGCCGCCATAAGTACTTGGCAAGCTGAAGACTTGTTGGCATAGGTCAAAGTCGGAACAACGCTGAGCACGAGTATCAATTAATGAAAGCAAACAT